GGGAGAATTCTTAAAAATAGGCTGTGCCGTAATCAAATTATTCTTTTTATGTGCTACTTAAAGTTTACACAGAAGTCTTTAAAATCTAATCTGAGTTTATGGCACAAATGCACATTCATCTGAGCCAAAGACAGAATCAGGATCACTTTATCCTCAATCCAGATCCTCTATCTGCTAAAACAGCACAAATGGCTTAGTCTCAGGGACAGAATGACTAAAAGGAGAACAGAACTCACAGGATGTTTCTGCCATTTCTCTGTATCACTGTAAGGCAAATGAACAATTCTCTCAATGAAATACGGGGAAGTGAATAGCTGTGATTAACTTTCTTTTTTAAAAAATTAACTTTCTCTACTACTCCTTAACTCAACACATCGATCAGAATCCACTAGGAGCAGATCTCATAAAAGGGCACCAAGGTGAGGCATCCAAACCGATTTAAGAGATGGTGGGCGATGGGCTTATTGATGACAACACCTCCTTCCTGTCTCAGGATTTCCTCCAGAGCCCTCAAGCTGTTCACCACCACAATGGGATCCTGGTCACGTAGCAAACTGTACAACTCATTTACCAGGGCGCCATCTGGAAAAGGGAACAGAGACCTCGGATAAAGAAGAGAAGCTTCAGAGGCAGGGGGACAAGGGAATAGAGCCCGAGTAACAGCTGTAAACGGACAAAGCTGAACTTCTCTGCTATAAAAATCACGAAGGCAATACAAAGTCAAGGCCAAAACACTGCCATCTGCTGCGTAGCTAAGGCAAAGGACCGCACCTGAACCTCAAAGAAAGGATTCCTCTAGTCTCAGAAAACACCAAGCCCTGCATCCTGCTTAAAGGGACATGCACAGAGTGAGGGCCACATCATTACTCTCTGCCAAAGCTACATAATCTTCCACAAAGTCATGTAAAATATATAAGGCAGACACTAGTAAATGTTGGTTAGGATGTATCACACTGAAACTTACCCACTTCCGAGTCTTCATGAAGATTATGCATCTTGGCACAGCCAAGGACGGCCACCCTCCTGACGTATGAGGCCTTATCCCGCAGACCGCTGAGAATGGGCTGCTGGATGTACTCCTGTACGCCAGGCATCCTAAGCAACACATCCTGGAATCAGCCAGATCCTGAAACCCTCGTTTTGACACAATTCAGCCCCTAACAACTTAACAGACGGTCAGTGGGTGTCTGAATGTACATCTACCAGATCATGAGTTGGAGAAAGCTGTTGTCAAACTAAAAAAGCCTATTTGACTTTATATTTGGGATAATGCTACACACAATTGTTTGGACATCTTTAACCAAAACCAAGAACTATTTCACCTAGAGAATGAAAAACTAACTCTAACGAACCTATCCTATCCTAGACAATAAAAGGCTAATGTACAAATTGACCGAACGGCAGAACGACCTGTCGCTATGATGTGCACTGACCACCAGGGGAAAATGCTCAACACAGGAGCTGCCCCCTGGTGGTCACGATGCTCCCACAGGGGAGCACCATGCAGCCAGAAGTGGGGTTCACGGTGGCAAGCGCAGAGGCGGTGGCGGGAGTCTCCTGCCTCCACAGCAGCGCTAAGGATGTCCGACTGATGGCTTAGGCTCACTCTCCAAGGGCAGAGGCCTGGCTGAGGGATCCCCCCACCCCTGAGCGCACAATTTTTGTGCACCAGGCCTCCAGTGAGAAATAGTTTTCTAAGCTAATGTAATGGCTCAACACTGTGACAAAAGTGTTTTTTTCAGGATAAAGGAGCTCAAATAAATTGTCATCATTGAAAACCTATCCCTTGCCCTAGTTCAGTGGTTGGCAAACTCATTAGTCAATAGAGTGGCAAGCTGCAGTTTGCTGACCACTGCACTAACTGGTTTGGCTGAGTGGATAGACAGTCAGTGTGCAGACTGAAGGGTCCTGGGTTCGATTCCAGTCAAGAGCACATGCCCAGGTTAGAGGCTCAAGCCCCAGTAGGAGGCATGTAGGAGGCAGCCTATCAATGACTGTCTCATCATTGATGTTTCTCTCTCTCTCCTCCACCCCTTCCTCTCTGAAACCAATAAACACAAACAAACAAACAACGAAAAACCCTACCCCTTCGCAGATGTGAACAACAGTGTGGTGTTTGCAGAGGGCGAGGGCAGATAAGGGAGATAGAAGAAGACATAGAGGGAATAAATGGTGATGGAAAAAGTCAAATTAAATTTTAAAATGAAATAAAAACCTACCCCTTGACCTCCTAACTTCCTAGCCACTGAGAAACAGCAGGAAAGAGGGAGCTCACCTGAGGCTGCACATGCTCCGTAGGGCCAGCCCTCGCACCATCGGGTTGGGGTCCGAGCAGTCCTTGCACAGGGTGTTGATGGCCAGGAGAGCCAGATCCGGCTTCAGGGGAGCATACGTGCACATGTAGAGATAAACCAGCTTCTTCTGGACAATATCTACGGTGGCACTGGCCTTCACCATTTCCATAAAAACACCAGACATGTCCAGGCCCTGAGTCATGTGTCTGAAACCGACACACATAGTAGGAAGAAGCAAAAACATGTCATTCCCAACCTATAACGAAGGTTTTTGTTTTTCTTATTTCATTTTATACGTGTCCTGGTTACCTAACTACATTATGATCTCTGCGAGGGAAATAGCCACGTCCGCCTAATCTACTATTAATATGTCACCCTGCAATAAACCTTCTTCTCCTTATTCAACACTTACTGAGATTCCCAACACATTCCAGTGAAATTCAGCTTTTACATCCCAGGAGAGGCTCTGGGGGCCTAATCTTGAAAAAGGAATGGCCTCAGATCTCTAGAAACTCAGTCTCCTAAGGACCCAGATAAGAGCACCACCAATTATGGTAACAATAGATAAGTATGATAACAGAAGACAAGGGAATCCAGAGGTCTACAATGCCAGGAAGTCATAAAGTGTTTCCACAGAGGAAGCATCGCTTCAGCTGAATGTGCAGAACTCACCAGGCAGGTGTGGCAGATAGGTAATGGTACTTTCTTTGGAGAGCCTGCAGGTAGTTGAGTTAGCCTGGGACTCCTTGGGCGCTACGATGAAAAATGTGGACCTGCCCTGACCGGTTTGGCTCAGTGGATAGAGCAGAGTGTCAGCCTTTGGACTGAAGGGTCCCAGGTTTGATTGTGGTCAAGGGCACATGCCCGGGTTATGAGATCCACCCACTGTAGGGGGCGTGCAGGAGGCAGCCAATCAATGATTCTCATTTTTGATGTATTATTTCTCTCCCTCTCCCTTCCTTTCTGAAATCAATCAACATAAACTTCGACATGATTCTGTAAGATCGCCATTTCTCAAACTACGGTCTCCTACAGGAATCAGAATTACTGGATTGGATGAAAATTTTACATTAAAACTTAAAAAGCACCTCAAGGGACTTTTGGGTATACTAAAGTTTGTGACCCACAGTTTAGTAGGCAAGACTTTCATACGTTCAAATTCGTATGTTGGAAAAAAATCACTCTCTCTGAAATGAGGGAGCAAGGTGACCTAGTAGTAGCTAGGTTACTGCAATTGCTTTGGCAATGAAACCAGGACAACAGCAGTGCCCTTAAAAAAAGAAGAAGGAAAAAAAAGGATGGATATTTAGAACTAGGAATCCATCTGACTTAAGAAGTGTCATCAAGCTTGATTCCCACGCTCGGTCAGCGGGTTAGCAATGCTCAGCACCACACATGGGAGTGGAAAAGCAGGTTTGGGGCGGGGGAGGATTAGTGAGGTACAGCTTTGCATGACTTTGAAGAAGCATCCAGGCGGAACTGCCAAGCTAGCAGTTAGCATCTGTGGGTCTGAAGATAAAATAAGGCCTGTCCTGGCTGTTACAGGCCTGGGAAGTCAGCAGTTTACGTGGAAGACACGGAGGACACCAGCCAGCTGAATAAGCGAGGTGGAGACTCAGCCTCCGGGGAGGCGGCGATGGCTCGGGGGCGGGGAAGCCCCGGGCCCAGCCGCCGCCCGGGGAAGCGCGGCCGCCCGACCGGAGGGGAGGCGGCGCCCCCGCGGGCCTGCGCGGGCGGGGGCGCGGGGGCCGGTACCTAATCACGCGCTGGATGACATTCCGGTAGCGCAGCCGGTCCGCCTGGACGTGCGGGTTGCACAGAGCCTTCTTCAGCTCCTTCACCACGTCCTCGGAGCCGAGGTACGGCATCTCCCGCGCTCACCGGGCCGCGCCGCCGCCCGACCGGGACCTGCGCAGGAAGTGCCAGTGAGCGGACCGGGGGCGGGGCCCGCCGCCGCCGGGCTCCCCCGGGGCTGGCGCGCTCGGGCTTCCCCGCGCCGCCCGCGGCGAGCCGCCCACCTCCGCAGCCCGGGGTTCCTTCGCCCGGACTTTCCCGCCGGCGGGCGCCGCTCGGATTCCCCACCCCGCAGGCCGCGGGCCCAGCCTCTCCGGCCCAGCCTCTCCGGCGCCTCCTCGCGGCCGCCGTCGCCGGGAGGCCCTATCTCACGCTCTGCGGAAGTCCCGCCTCTTCCAAGAGGCCCTATCTCACGCTCTGCGGAAGTCCCGCCTCCTCCAAGAGGCCCTATCTCACGCTCTGCGGAAGTCCCGCCTCCTCCAAGAGGTCCTATCTCACGCTCTGCGGAAGTCCCGCCTCCTCCTCCAGAGGCCACGCCCAGCAGCTGCCACTCACCCTGTCCCCCGTGGAGCCCGGCGCAGCCCGGCCCAGACCTTAGCGTGCCCTTCTCCCCTGCCTCCCCCGGAGAGCGCGGCCGAGCTCGGGGCGCGGGGCGGCGGCGGCGGGCGATCGGAAGTCGGCTACTCGGCCTGTCCGGCCCGCAGCGCGCGCTTCGACTGGGCTCCGCGCCGGCCCGGCCGGCTCCCGCGCGCGCGGGGGTGCCTGGCGCCCCGCAGAGCACGGCCACTTCCTCCTCTGCTGCCCACCCTGCTGACTCGTCCCTCCCCCGGGCCGGCTCCTCCCCTCGGGGTCCCCGTGCCCCGGGGCTGCTGTGCTGCCGGAGGCTCCCGCCGCGGGGCCGCCCCGCCCACCATGAACGGCGTTCTGATCCCGCACACGCCCATCGCCGTGGACTTCTGGAGCCTGCGGCGGGCCGGCCCCGCGCGGCTCTTCTTCCTGTCGCACATGCACTCGGACCACACCGTGGGGCTGTCCAGCACGTGGGCGCGGCCCCTCTACTGCTCCCCGGTCTCCGCCTTCCTCCTGCACCGTCACCTCCAGGTAACGGCGGGCTGCGGGCGGCCTCCGAGCGCTGGTCCCCGGGGCCCGGGACCCCGTCCGTCCGGGTCAGCCCCGAGCCCTAGAGGGGTCAGCCCCCGGGGGACTGGCTGCTACAGATGTGGCCGTTGTTTAAGGTGACCAGACGGTAAACATCGGGACTGTCCCGCCAAAAGCGGGACGCCTGGTCACCTTACCATTGTTCCATCCCAGAAATGCACCTGCAGCCAGAGCAAAGCGTGTGGATTCCAACGGGCGGACTTGGGATGTTTCAGCCACAAGTTGGGGAGGTCGGTCAGCCCAACCCAGGAACCTGTTCCTACCTTGCCGCAGAAGCTAGGCTAGTGTTTCCCCAACGTGCCTCATCGTGAGAATCCACCTCATGTGCTGGGTGGATGGATTCTCCACCGCCTCCCCTTGCCCCCATCTGGTTCAAGTAGATAGAATTGGTGCAGGTCCTGGGCATAATCTGGAAAAGTGTGAGCATCGCTGACTAGACTGTTTTCTGGAACCTTCATTTAAAGTGGTACAGAGGGTGGGGTGGCGAGTGGGAGGAGGGAGGGGGCATCTGTGAGTCTGCAGTGCAGCTTCTGCTCGGCGTTTGGTCAGCTTTCCCTCCACCGGGAAAGGAACAGCTCCCAGCCCAGGGAGGCGTCGGGGAGGGGAGCCTGTTCACCGCGGTGACCTGCTCCTGTTCCCGCAGGTGTCTAAGCGGTGGATCCGGGCCCTGGAGGTGGGGGAGAGCCACGTCCTGCCTCTGGATGAGATGGGGAGAGAGACCATGACTGTCACCCTGATGGATGCCAACCACTGCCCCGGCTCCGTCATGTTCCTCTTCGAAGGATACTTTGGGACCATCCTCTACACAGGTGGGCCTCCCCGGGGCCCCTCCCACCTTCTCAGCCTGGACCCCGCTTTCTAGTCCAGCCTTAACCCGTAACAGAATGCTCCTTTCAGCAGCACCTACACTACAATGGGGACAACGCAAAGATTAGCACGGCCCCTGTAGAAGGACAACACGCAAATTCGTATTTTTCTTGAAACCTACGTAATCCCACTAACCAGGGACACCCAATAAATTTAACGTTTATGAAAAGAAGTCTGAAGGCCTCCTCGCTTTAATCCCATGTGAGCACTGACCCTTTCTGAGCGGACTTCTCACGCTCTTAAGGGTCCAAACCCTGGACAGGAGCGGGACACAAACATTTCCACACGGAAGCTGTCCTGGGCGCAGTGGGTCCGTGCCAGGCTCCAGGGCTTCCAGGAGCCAGAAAGCTAATGCCCGTTGGTTGTTGGAGGCGGTGGGAGGCTTGTCTTCTCTCACTTTTGTCTCTGACGCTGCCCCCAGGTGACTTCCGGTACACGCCGTCCATGCTGCGGGAGCCAGCCCTGAGCGTGGGCAAGCAGATCCACACCTTGTACCTAGACAACACCAACTGCAACCCAGCGCTGGATCTCCCTTCCCGCCAGGAGGCCGCCCAGCAGATCGTGGAGCTCATCCGGAAGCACCCACAGCATGACGTCAAGATTGGTGAGGGGTTTCCCTCCTTTCTCTCTCGCCCGGAGGGGTGCACCTAGGTTTTGGGTGGGTGTCTCACATCTTTCAAGGCTTTGTGCAGACCCCCTTCTCCAGGAAACCTAAACCTGTCCATCTTTTTTTTTTTTTTTTTTTTTAAGTTTTTAAAAACGTATTTTTATTGATTTCAGAGAGGAAGGAAGAGGGAGAAAGAGAAACCTCAATGATGAGAGAGAACCATTGATGGGCTGCCTCCTGCATGCCCCCTAGCGGAGATGGAGCCCCCAACCCGGGCATGTGCCCTGACTGGGAACCGTGACCTCCTGGTTCATAGGTCGATGCTCAACCACTGAGCCACACCAGCTGGGCTGCGCTGTCCATCTTTAATTTAAAATTGCCCTCTGCTCGCACATTCCCAACTCGTGAGTTATTACATCTGAGTTACCTGCATCTGTGAGTTCGTTTGTTGCTGTGTTTTATATCCCACATAGGAGTGAGGTCATAGGCTTCTGGTCCTTGAACATCAGACTTATTTCACTTACTCTCAGGATCAGCCATCCTTGTTGTCGCAAATGGTAGCGTTTCCTATTTTCTTATGGTGCGTAGTATTCTGTTGTGAATGTGTACCACATCTTTAATTACTCATTGAGGGTCTAATGTTGTTTCTTACCGATTCCTTCTTTGTACTTTAGTAACAGCAAACTGTTACTAAAACGTTCTTAAAACGTTCTGCCATTTCCTTTGCTTGCCAATTTACCTGGAACCCATCCTTTAAGACAGTGCAGTTGTCATTTTCCAGGAAACCTTGCCTAACTTCACCCACGGGAAGATTCTTTTCTGTGCCCTCCTGTTACTGGGCGCATGCCCCTCTCAGTGCCCAAGCCACGTGGTCTCTGGGGTCCCATGTAGATTGCACTGGGAGAGGACAGAGACTTCCTGATCCCGTAGTGCCTGACACTGGTAGATGCTTTTCTGTGTTGAACGGAGTGAATGAGTGAGTTCTCCCTTCCCCATTTCCCATAGATCTCAGCTCAAAGGCCATCCCATCCCTGATTTCGTGTATCTCTGTTGAACATTCGGTTGGTTTATCAGGATTCCCCAATTGCTCCATTCTCTCTCTCCCCTTCCTTTCCCCAATCCCGTGACCGTTCCTCAGGCCTCTACAGCCTGGGGAAGGAGGCCCTGCTGGAGCGGCTGGCCCTGGAGTTCCAGACCTGGGTGGTGCTGAGTCCTCGGCGCCTGGAGCTGGTGCAGCTGCTGGGCCTGGCGGACGTGTTCACGGCGGAGGAGAAGGCCGGCCGCATCCAGGCCGTGAGCCACACGGACATCTGCCCCTCGGCCATGCTGCGCTGGAACCGGGCCCGCCCCACCATCGCCATCCTCCCCACAAGCCGCCAGGTCCACAGCGCCCACCCCGACATCCACGTCGTCCCGTACTCCGACCACTCCTCCTACTCGGAGCTCCGTGCCTTCGTGAGGGCGCTGCGGCCCTGCCAGGTGCTGCCCATCGTCCGCCGCCAGCCCTGCAGGGCCTACTTCCAGGACAGCCTGGGCCCCGGGCCCCCCGCGCCCTCGGTCCCAGACTCTGTGCGGCAATGCATGAGCGCCTCCTGCAGCCAGCCCAGCGCGCTGCGCCTGCTGGAGAGGAAGCTGCGGAGGCCCAGGACCCAGGGCGTCGTGTTCGAGTCTCCCGAGGACAAGGCGGATCGGTGGCACGCTGGCAGGGACTCCAAGAAGGCCAAGAGCCAGAACCTTCCAGGGAACCCTGAGAGGCAGCCGTCCCTCCATCCTGTGCGGACCAGGAAGCAGCTGTTCCCCGAGCCCTGCAGCCAGGAGCGGGAGGGGGCGGTCCCTCCCTCCGGGTCCCAGGAGATGGGGGCCGAGCTGGCTGCCCCCGTGGGTCTCTCAGTTCATGTGAGATCTCCAGGGGAGGAGCCTGGTGCCGGGCCCCGCTGGGTCCCCAGGGGAGGCAGTGACGGCTCAGCAGCCTCAGGGAACCTGCCCGGGTGCAGGGGCCGGGACTCACCCCGGTCCCCCAGCAGCGAGGCTGCCCCGCTCCCGGCCCCGGAGCTCAGCGGCCTGGCCCTGAAATACCTCCTCACTCCGCTGAACTTCTTCCAAGCGAGGTTCTCTGCCCGGGGCTTCGACCAGCAGGTGGAAAAATACCATAAATCCCTGCTGACGTGCAGCCCGGGGGAGCCCGGCCTCGGGTGATCCAGCGCCAGGGTTTGGGAGAGCGGCGGAAGGCGGTGGGCAGTTTGCTGGGGGCCTTTGCTGTCTTCCCGGGACTCTTTGGGGCTCACCTTGGAGCAGCGCGCCTCACAGTGTGGTCACTGGACACCTAATGCTTGTGGAATCCTTAGTATCTAGTTGACTGAAAAGCCATTTTCTTTAAAACCCTTTTACATGGGGAGCCCCTGTAGGGTTGTAAGAAGGCCTCGCAGTAACAATCTGTTTACATTTTTTTTAAAGTATATTTTATTGATTGTTTACAGAGAGGAAGGGAGAGGGATAGAAAGTTAGAAACATCCATGAGAGAGAAACATCCATCAGCTGCCTCCTGCACACCTCCTACTGGGGATGTGACCGCAACCAAGGTACATGCCTTTGACCAGAATTGAACCTGAGACACTTGAGTCCACAAGCTGACGCTCTATCCACTGAGCCAAACCAGCTAGGGCTGTTTACATTTAAAAAAATATATATTTTGTAATTGATTTCAGAGAGGAAGGAAGAGGGAGAGATAGAAACATCAATGATGAGAGAGAATCATTGATCGGCTGCCTCCTGCATTCCCTCTACTGGGCATTGAGCCTGCAACCCAGGCATGTGCCCTGACCAGAATCAAACCCAGGACCCTCGAGTCCCAGGCCAGCATGCTCTCCACTGAGCCAAACCGGCTAGGGCCTGTTTAACTTTGCTAACACAGCGTTTCTCCCACGTTTTTGAATGTGCCATCCTCTTACGCGGCTGCAGAAATAGTTAAAGAGTCTGAAGCAGCCAAAACGCCCAGAGTATTCCCGTTACTTTGTGTGTCACGTGCCATTCTCCGTGTCCCCTGCCCCCTTTCCTAGACAGAAGTCCCTCGGTGGTTCTGTTTTTTCACTTAGGAACCGTGGCGCTGGAGGATAAGGTGGCGATCCAGGCCGTGACCCCATCCCCGCTACTTCCTGCCTCTGCCTTGGGGAGGGAACAGGAAGCGAAGAGCCTTGGAACACGGAGAGAAAATTCCATCTTCGCCTCCACGGGAGTTTGTAGTTGTCACTGGAGACCTACCTGGAACGGTGCCAGCTGGAGCACTGGGCACTGCCCCCCGGGCGGCACCTGGGACCAGGCTGAGGGTATCGCGGGCTGCCCAGCTGCCCGGAGGCCCTGACGGGGACTGAAATAAAATTACAGAAGATCAAATGGGCCGTCAGATATTCCTGATTGTTCACATAGCTGGGCTGTTTACTGCCCCCTCCCCCTGCAGGCCCCCGCTCTGGGCTGAGCAGGGAGCCAGAGCACACAGCCTGTGTGTTTTGAGTATTCAGGGCAGAGACCAGGGAGCCAGCTGGTGGAAGGGGTGGGGGTGTGCAGTTCTGCTCGCAGCCTGGCGAAATGCCAAGCCAGTCAGCAGGACGGAGATACAGGGCACAGGCGTGTGGATCCATTGCATCAGAATGGACCCACACACAAGCCCTCGCAGGGATGAGGCCTCAGTTTCTTGTCCAGGAAAAACAGCTTCATACTTTGGGAGGAAGATAGGAAGAGTTTAGATATCAAAACAGGGCCTTGCTCTTGGGCAAGCTGTCCACAGCTGTGGGTTTTTAAAATATATATATTTTATTGATTTTTCACAGAGAGGAAGGGAGAGGGAGAGAGAGTTAGAAACATTGATGAGAGAGAAACATCGATCAGCTACCTCCTGCACGCCCCCTACTGGGGATGTGCCCACAACTAAGGTACATGCCCCTGAGTGGAATTGAACCTGGGACCTTTCACTCCGTAGGCTGATGCTCTATCCACTGGGCCACACCGGTCAGGGCCACAGCTGTGTTTTGCCAGTGGCCTTCACTGTAAGCTGCCCATGGGCCACTGGGAGCCGCAGCAGGTGAGCCTGTGGGGCGGCAGGAAACAGGCACGGTCCTGGGCTTAAATCCATGCTTGAACAGCAGAGCCTCTGAGGACCGGGGGCTGGGCTGCCTACCTCTCCTCGTTGTCGGGAGGTCATGATGGGGGAAATCCTACCTCAGTGCCTTCTACTGGTTCTCTTGGCTCTAGGTTCTAAACAAACTTTGTATCCCCAGCCAGGTTGGCTCAGTGGATAGTGTCAGCCTGTGGACTGAAGGATCCTGGGTTTGATTCGGATCAAGGGCACGTACCTCGGTTGCTGACTCCTCCCCAGACCGAGCCCTGGTTGGGGCACATACAGGAGGCAACTAATCAATGTGTTTCTCTCACATTGATATTTTTCTCTCCCACTCTCTCTTTCCCTCTCCCTCTCTCTTAAAAAATCAATGGAAACATATCCTCAGGGGAGGAGTAAAAAGAAAAAAAAAGTTTACATATAAAATAAGAAACTTTGGGAATCTTATGGAAATACAAAGAAAAACTTGAAGTATAATTGCTTCACGTGGAGCAATTGTTTTAACGTTTTTTCTGTGCATGTAAATGTATTAAATATATAATTTTTTCAACATTTGGGTAATGCTGTATATAGTTTCATATCCTGTAGGTTACTTAATAGTTTAAGCAGTTTTTGTATTATTAAATATTCAAAATGTCATTTTTAATAGTATCATGCTCTATCATGTGGGTATAGCTTAAGATCATTTCCATATTATTCATTTCGTGGGCCCCTTTTCACACGTACGCACATCACAAGGAGCATCCTTGTGCACACGTCAGGGTACTTCTGTTTATTAGATTACTGGGAGGAGGATTACAGTTTTAAGTTCTTAACGCAAATTGTGCCCAGTTGCTAGAAAAGGTTTCTTTTCCTCCCTTTTGCAGAAGAGGATAACATGAAAACACCCTGAGGCTCTTCAGTCCAATGGTGATAGTGGAGCGGCACAGTAAACACTGAGGGAAGATTCGCTGAGCTGTGTGGGCCAGGCTTGGCCTGGCTTCCCCGGAGCCTCCAGCTGGCTCACGTCGGGGCGCCCCAAGGTGTTTGGGGGAGATAAGGCACCCGAGTTGGCGCTATCTCCTGGGAACATGGGGCCTGGCTGCGCTGGGCGGACGCTGTGTCACCCCTATTCCTGGAAGAGGGATCTAGATGCGTGCACGTGGGGGAGCAGAAGCAAAGGGCTTGGAGTTGAGTTGCTGGTACCAGTTTGTGTTTCAGGAATGGGAAAATTCCATGCGATTCCAAGGTCAATTTGCCTGGTTTCTAGCAGAGACTGGCAATTGCCTCCTCTGTTTTTGTTTCTCAGTACATGTATAACAACGCTGCGCGGCTTAGATCTGAGGAGGCAGTTTATTTTTAGGATCTGAGGGTGACCCCCCCAGAGCTCTGAAGATCTTCCATCGGGCTTGGAGGTACTGGGAGAAAGGAAGTTCCCTGGAGGTCAATTCGCTGTTTGTTTCAGGACCTGTGGGAAAACTTGTACTTTTCCACCAGGAAGCCGACAGTGACTTTGGACCCTTTCGAGGAGAAAGTCGGCCCCCCTGGCTCTGGGGGACCCTCTCTCACTCCTGACTCAGGCTCCCCTTTGTGGCAGGAGCAGGAGGTAAGTGGGCCTGCTTGTTCAGGAAAGGGGATTGGGACCTGGGTTCTCTGTCACAAGCCCGCTCCCAGGGAGAGAGCTCCCGCTGCATTCCTGAAGTGGCGGGAGAAATGCCGGGGGACACATTTTGATGCTGCCACCGGTGAGCAGCTGTCGGTCTGTGACCTGCCTCACACTCACAACCCTCCCGAACCACCACAAGCTCTTTTGTCTTAGGTTCAGGGCACTTCCTGGGACATCCCACCGACATTGGTACAGAACGGTTCTGCCTGCCCTTCTAATCATAAAATAGTGAGCGAGGCAGAAACTGTCCCGCCCGCATGGAACTTACATTCTAAAGGAGAGAGGCGGTGAATAAACACCAGGTAGCGATAAGTGCTAAGAAGAAGAAAAGCCACAACAGCTGGCTAACAGAGTTGGGGAGAAGTCAGATACAGGTGGAGGAAGGTGTCTGTGGATTGATTGGCCTGAGTGAGGGAAAGGAGCCAGTCAGATGAAAGGTCACGTGATGGCGTTAACTTTTGCCCTAGGCACAGCCAGAAGAGTGTATGGCTGAAGGGAAGAGTGTTGTGGGGTCGAACCCTGGGTTCAAAATAAGACCACCAGAGGCTGATGATTGATTAAAAAAAGCAGGCAAGGGTTTATTGAAAAACTAGCCAGGACAGCAGGTGGGCTCCACAGGACCGCCCTGAACCAGGCGTAGGCAATCCTTTTTAAAGCTTCAAACCACAGGAATTTCCCTTTGTTCTAAATTCTAAAGGCTGGGAACATTGGAATGTGGCACTATCTTGCCCATAATACAAAAGCAGAACTCAGAGGTTAATCTCTAAAGGTTATCTATAGTTTCTACCCCTGAAGCTACAGAGTCAGTGCGAGTCAATCTCCTGTAACTACCCTATTGTTTAAGCCAGTAATCGAAGGTCGAAGTCAGATAGCAAGGTTAAAATTCAAACAGCAGTTTTTACCCAAGTATGATTCCTACCATCTTTCAAAGAGGAGATGAGCTCTGGGAGGGAGACAGACCTTGGATCCGAAGTGATTTGTAAGTTCAAGTAAGAAGTTTGGGTGTTTATCTCAGTGTAACTAACGGGAAGCTGCTGGATACTTCCCTGTAGGGGAGTGACACAATCTGATACATACTTTTGTTTTAATGTTGTTTTTTAGGGTTTAAAGTATTACATTTGACCTCTGATGATACATAGTTTCAAAAGCAACAGATGGAGCCCTAGCCAACAAGGGATAGAGCATCAGCCCAGCCTATGGATCAAAGGGTCCCGGGTTCAATTCTGGTCAAGGACGTGCCTTGGTTGCAGGCTCCTCCCAGGCCCTGACCCTAGTTAGGGTGCATGCAAGAGACAAGTAATCCATGTGTTTCTATCCCATCGATATTTCTCTCTGTCTTTCCCACTCTCTTCTACTCTCCCTAAAAAAATCAACAGAAAAACATCCTCAGGTGAGGATTAACAAAAAA